TATTTAGAAATTAAATGTTCAGCTTCTAATCAGTGCTATGTAAAAGAAGGGGAAAAAAATTCAATTTCTGCCTAACCAGCTCATTATCCACATAGCTGAACAGCAAGGATTGTAGGAAATGTTTTCCTCAGCTTCTCCTTGCCCCAGTCTCTGCACTTTCTGAAGGGACACGATTAACGTGCAGTAAAATCAGTGCAGATTTTGAACACTCATCTTAATGCTGTAAAAATCCAACCTTTTGGAGGATTACCTATGTGAACCAGGCCTGCAACCCATAATCCTAGGATGAGAAAAACAGGCATGAGGGAAAATTGTGGGCGACGCGTTTCGGGACAGAACGTCTTTGGAATCCTTTCACCCCCTCCTACTCTGCCACTAAATGCTGGAACAAAAGGGTTAAATGCAAGTTGTGTTCGGATAAACAAAACTGTGGGAGATGAGGCAGGTGCCCTGCCAGCTGACACCCAGAGCAGCCAGAATTTGGCACCGGGGAGGAGATCTAAAAGGCTGCTCTGAGCTCCGAGACTCGCCGTGCACAGGCTGTTTCTTGGCTCCAGCTTTACCAGTCCTGGCCACTTTAAATCAGGAGCAACAATTGCTTGCATCGAATTTCTCACCAGCTGGAGCATAGCAAGGAGTGAATTATGTTTTCTGGGTCTCAGTAAATAAAAATCAAGGAAGAAAGTCTGATAAATGCGCAAGAAAAGGGCAGGAAAGGTCTGGGTCTCTGCCACCAACTCAATGGGGAGCCTTTGGCAAGTCCTTTGGTTTTTTTTTCCCTCCTCCTTCTTTCACCTCTTCACATAGAAAACAGAAATAAACAATATTTTCAGTACTTGGTCTCTGGAACTGACAATTCAGCACTCTGATGGATCTTCTCCAGGATCTCTAAGCAGTACTGCAAATAACATCTAATTAATAATGTCAATTAAAGCACTAATGAAAGATTTGCATTTCTTCCCAAAGAGTGACACTTACGTGTCCAGTTTGGTCAAACAGTGAATAAATAACACAGCCTGTCAATATGCTGGATAAACCATGCTGTGTCAAGGATAACAGTGTTTTTTTCAGAAGTTCATTGACTAATATGAGCAATTCTTGATTTAATAAGTGGTGTTGTAAGACACTGTTTAATAGCTGATATTGTGTCCATATTTCTGTATTTTGGGTGTGAAAAGGACAGGTGTCACTCATGTAAGTCATAAAATCATGATATTTAAGATGTTATTATCATAGAATAGTAGAATTATAGAATGGCTTGGGTTGGACAATGGGCAGGGACACCTTCCACTAGCCCAGGTTGCTCCAAGCCCTGTCCAACCTGGCCTTGGACACTTCCAGGGATGGGGCAGCCACAACTTCTGTGGGAAACCTGTGCCAGGGCCTCCCCACCCTCACAGGGAAGAATTTCTTCCCAATATCCCATCTAACCCTGCCCTCTGGAAGGTTGAAGCCATTCCCCCTTTTCCTGTGACTACACATCCTTTTCAAAAGTCCCTCAAAAAACTAATCCTTGAATTAATCCCCTGCAAAATGGGTTTCCAGTCAAAATGCAGATGGAAGTCTTATTTTATTTATTCTTCATTTCTGGGAGAGCAACATATTTCATTATACCATTGTATAACCATATCAATGGGCTTTTTCTTCATCAGTGAAGTCTGATACTCCAGCCCCTTGTTGTTTATGTCCTAAGAGTAAGGCAACAAGAGGATCCTGTGAAAGCCCATGCAGTGAGGGGCCCTACAGTCTTGCCCACTCAGCAAGAGTAAATTTTCTGAGTCGTCTCTGGAGTAAGAAAGGCACTTAAATGAAACAATAACCCACAAAAATACCATTTCTGGGTAATAGTGTGAAAAATGAGAGGGACTGCCCTATGTCTGGGCTTCCTTACAACCCCAGCTCAAATGCAAGCTCAGGTTCTGTCCCTGTACATGTAAATATGTTAAATGTTAAACACAGAAATAATCCATATGAACTCCATTGCATTCTCCTACAGGTGGGCATACGCAGCCATTGGCATGGTTTTCTGTCAAGTAAATACCCATATTTTGGTGCAGAATACACAAATATACATTGTCTGAGAGAAGGGAAGCAGCAGCACATGGGAATTTAAAGGTGTTACAGGGAATTTAAGGAATTACAGATGGTGGCTGTATGTTCCTCACCATGTCCTTGTATATAAATATAAATGTATGTATATACATGTACACACACACAAATATAATGGTATATATATGTATGTTATTCCACATTTAATAGATGGACTTTGACTTTTAGTTGCAATTCAAGGTACGATGTTCAATATAAATCTAATTGACTTTTCAGTAGCTTATTAAGGAAAATTAGGTTGATGAATCAAACCTAAAAGCCTGTACAGTCAAAGGTTGCAGTGGAACTGTCTTCAGTACATTAGTAGGGCTTAGCTATATAGAAAAATATGTTAATGAAAGGCAAGTTTGCTCTTAGAGCAATCAGAATATTAACTTTGTTGAAAGTGTGAATCCCTTCATAATGCCCAAACACAGTGAAATGCAATAATAATTTGGGTATATATATAAAAATATCACTGTAAAAAGCCTATTCATGTCAGAAAACCTAAATTAATATGATGCATCAATGTTATTATGGATGTCATGAAATTGAAAATGAACTCAAATCTAATATTTTAACATCAATGTGACTTACTACTACCTATATCTGGAGTGAAATAACAGTAATTTTTATTTCATCCTTTTTAGATTATAGGAAAAAATAACCTATTTAAAAGATTTAAATGTAAAAAAAAATATCTTTTTCTAAGCCATCAGTGTAATATGCAGGCTGCCAGGAACATCAGGCTTCAATCCATTTAGTAGTGGCCTGGTCTTTCTCCAGAAAGAATTTTGGACAGTTTGTAATGTCAAATTACTCCATAAATGATGAAAATAAAACTGGGTTTTTTTTATGAGTCAAAGAGGGGTTTTTTGAGGTTTTCTTGCAGCTTCTTCTGACCCTGTTTTTGTGGGTCACTCTAAGGCATAGGTTGGTGTGCGAGGTGACCTCATGTGAGGAGCCACTTCCATGGGAACTGCTGATTTGAGTGGCACATGCTGTGGAAGACACCAGGAAAGACAGGGATAAAGGAACAGTGGTTTGCTCATTGATCCTCTAATTGCCAACTAAACCCACGGGCGAAAATTCCCACACGACAATCCAATATCTGCATTCTGAGTTTGGATTTTAGCAACACAGGTGCCTATATCTGAGCTATATCACTGTCAGTAAACCTGGGGTTTGGTAGATTTAGGAGGGAAACAGGTCTGTCCAAAATATTCTGCAGAGCCATCCCTGTTACTGTGCCAAGAACCTTGAGCACAGCCCCAGCTCTGCTGCAGCATCTGCCAGTTCAGTCTGAGGCAGCAGCTGAACAATCTCTGCTAGAAAAGGTTTGCTCAGATCGTTGGTGACCTCTCCTCAGAATTTTTAGACTTACACAATATTTGCACACACACAAGAATTAGAATTACAGAATCATAGGATATCCTGGATTGGAAGTGACCCACATGGATCATCCAGTCCAACTCTTAGCCCTGCACAGGCCCATCCCCAAGACTCACACCCTGTTCCCCAGAGGATCATCCAAACCCTTCCTGAGGTCTGGCAGCCTTGGTGCTGTGCCCACTGCCCTGGGGAGCCTGCTCAGTGCCCGACCACCCTCTGGGGGAGGAACCTTTTTCTAATATCCAGCCTAAATTCCCATATGTAAAATCCTCAAAGCAGCTGGAGCTGGGCAGACAAGGCAGGAGCCCAAGGGTGTTCTCACCATGGCTTTGGGTATTAACCCTCCAGAGTCACTGGTGTGTTGAGTGCGAAGGTTTGATGTTCAATACATCCATCCAAAGTCACAGTACAGACTCCCTGATGCTTCAGAGGGGTTTTCTAGACTCCCTCCATCACCTTCACATTAAACCCTTTTTTTCTATCTCAGAAAATCAAAAAGCACATCTGATTTATTATAGAAGAGAGAGATAACTCAATTGATTTTAAATTATTACATGATAAGGAATTTGAAAAAGTATAAACTGGAAAATGCATTTTATGCTGCGCTGAATTATTTTAGATCCTTCAACACCTCTTTTCCCATAGGATCAAAATCAGACTCTGTTGGGATTTTACTGTTAGTAAAAACCTTCTCACATAATTTGAAGGGTTTTTTCCAATCTCTAATTAATATTGGACCATCAGGGTTAAAAAAGGAGCAACCTGGAGCCCTGTGGTGGCTCCAGAAGATGCAGAGCTGAGCTGCTCTGAACATTTAACCTGATGCAGTGGTCAATGAAGTACTGGAAATATTGTTTCTTTGGCCTGTGGGCCTCTGGCAGAGCTTTTTGCTGCAGCTTCACGAGGCTCCTCAGTGCCTGTGCACGATGCAGCAGCACCACTCCATGGCTCCTGCATCCCCCAACACCCAGCCCGAGCCACAATCCTCTGAGGGGCCAGCAAAGTCTGACTTCA